GATTCTATCTGATGGACTTTTGACGTCATAAACGGCAGAATATATTTATTGTGACGACATGAGAGATTAATCCACAACATTCCCAATCTGACTGACTGGGTGTTCTCTTGATCCAGCACAGAGTCCTGGGCTGCACCGGTTTTGTGTAAGTTTTTACTCACGTTTGTGCTTAGAATTTTTATTACGTGCTTAATTCACATTAAATGGTCATTTTACTAAATTGAATTGCACCACAAATCCTTAAGTAACGTCTCAACTAGTAACCGCTAACTGCGTATGTCCCCTTAACACAACAATTACCTGTTCAGATAAATGTGCTAGCACGGAGAAACGACGGCAGCATGAAAAAGGTATCCAGTGTAGAAGAGGAGGCCACTATGGCCCAATCCCATTTCTTCTTTTTACACCTACCCCTTGTTTTCGAGTGTCACCCTAACCCCTTGGAACTTAGTTACAAGGGGTAGTGGTTGAAATCTTGCCCTATGAAATGGGACAAACCTCAAATAAAGCAAAACAAAACGTTCGCTTCGTGAACAGCTAGTAGCGCTGCTCTGTAGGCGACCCGGCCCGTCTTCAGTGACAGCAGAGAAGGGTAAAGTTCAGCTCCTCACTGCTGGGCTTTAGTTACATTTAGGGCATCATATGTTTTAAAAGAGGGGGATAAGACAGTTATTTATCATCACCCACCGCTAATTCTTTGGTGATACGAAGCTGAAATCAGCTATTCACCAGCTTATTGTTGTTTTTTCCCGTTCCACCTTAAATGATGCAGCAGGTACATTCTGACGCTTCAGGCGTTGATACTGGTGGACTATTTAAGGTAGAACGGGAAAGTTAGCTAGCTAGCTACCGAGACGTTAGCATACTATAAGCGATTTTATGCTTGTCATGAAGAAAACGACCATAATACATTGAAATGACATTAAACTAAGATAATTCAATGGTTATCGTAATTTTTAACGGAGAAAATACTCACATTTATGGGTTTCTTGGGTCGCCCTCGGAAAAACCTCCGTTTGGAGGGCCATGTGGCCCTAACACTTCGCCCTACCCCTCTATCTCAACAAAAATCGGGACACCCTACCCCTAGATGTGAACGCGCAAAACAGAGGGCTAAGGGCTAAGTGGTAGGGGCGAGGGGTGAAATGGGATTGGGCCTAAATCTGTCTTAAAGCCATTGGGCCTCATTCACCAAACATTCTTAAGACTAAGTTGGTTCTTAAAACCCACTTACGCAGTTTTCATATTTGGGATTTGTTCTTAGGTAGGAACAGAATCTAAACACGCTCAAGAGCGCAGAGGTTCGAATAGTTTTGAGGTTAAAGAACATGTCATGAATCTGACGTAGACTTTTTCCTAGAACCTTTCTTAAGAACAAATTAAAGGTAACACTTGGGAAGATACGGGTGAATGAGGCCCATAGTCACCTGCTGGTGACATCCTGTATAAATAACAATAATATGTGGCCCCAACTTAGACTTGAGAATGAGATAATTAAGTCATGGCCATGACTTAGTAAGGCATGGGAGCGAGATACTAATGCTTGGGCATGAGTTAGGTAAGGCATGGCCAATAGATAATTAAGCTTTGAGCACAGCTTTATAAGGCATGATTTTGTTCCCGCGCCTTACTAAGTCATGGCCACAACTTAATTATTTCGTTCCCACACTATGCTAAGTCTTGAGCATGCATTAGGATCTCGCTTCCACATGTTAATATGGTGTGGCCACACATTATTGTTATCTATATCGGGTGTCACCAGCAGGGCTCCATAGTTTTTTAATGTTGAAACGTGTTTTAAAACTCAACAGACTGTGTCGGAGGAAGGGTTACACAAATTTATCAGAGCTTTAAGATTTTTGTTCGGGAGAAACTACAGCTTTCTGGACAACTTAATGGCTAGGTGGATGCCTGCAACATGTTCCGAGAATAACATGTTTTGGATGCAACCATGCAGGGTGACCAGCTAAACCAGCACCAGACCAGCACTAGAGCTGCAAGCCAGACGTGCTGTTTATGTCAGCAAGGCCTGGATGAAGAAGAAAAAAATAAAACAAAAACACAGCACATACCAACATGACTTCCATGTCTGAGCTGTTTTATGCTGGTCTGGTTCTGGTTTAGCTGGTCGCCCATCATGGCCATGCTGATTAACTAGCATTCACAACTCAACATATGGTCTATGCCTGTTTTTCTAGCAGGGTACTTAGTTTCAAACTTTCCTTTTGCTAAATTTGGTTGTGGCACAGATTCTTAAGTAGTGACTAGCGAAGAACAACATGCTTATATCTCTTTAATATGAATTGTTTTTTCTCTCTACACTAATCATCTGGTGTCTCACCATAAATCTGTTAAAAATGTGAAATATGCAGACATTACCACAATAATAGACCTTATTACAGATAGCAATGAGCCTAGTTATCGGCAGGAGGTGAATCGATCAGCAGCCTGGTGTACCAGCAATGCCCTCCAGCTTTATACATCAAAAACAGTGAAGATCATTGTTATTACAGGAAAAAAACAGACTGTAAAAACTCCAGTGCAGGTTTTAACACAATCAAGATGTACATTACTCACATTAGCGATTCCTTGAAGTGGAGCATCAATGTTGATCATATCTTCAAAAAATCTCAACAGCGGTTTCTGAGACAATTAAAAAATAAAGAGTAAGAAGATCTATCGGTTAAATTGTATTCATCCGTTATTGTGAGTGTTCTTATGTCATCTATTACAGTTTGGTATGGAAATATAGATATTCAAACTCATAATAAATTGCAGGATATTATTGGTAAAGAAAAATGATTTCAACATCGCTTTCAGTTGACTATGTTTATATACAGGGCACTCTTAAGTGAGCAAAGAGAAAAATTTAAGATTCCTCTCATCCAGTGTACATCTTTTCAGAGCACTTCCTTCTGAGAGGCACTATAGATGTTTAAAAACTAAGACAGCCTGTTTGAAGAACAGCTTTTTTACCTCTGCGATAAGGTTACTAAACTCTTCTGAGTATTGAATATCATAGTCATTCTGTAAGATTTCCAACCCAGATAAGACAATTTTCCATGAGTCCCATAGAACAAATGATGTATTGTCTATTGTTTGCTGTTTATGTATTGTATGTTTATGTGTAGTTCTTGCTACAACAGAGTTGAATACAGTTGCCACCTACCTACATGTTGTGTGGCAATAAATTAATAAATGGATGAATCAATCAATACAATGCTCAGAACCATCAATAAACCCACTGCCATGAAAACTTAATGGCAGCTTGCACTGACTTTTTGGAAAGCGTGAAAAGAAAAACCCAGTACAGAAGAGAACTATGTGTAAACACTGTAGTTAAAAGTAAGTACTGTTTCACAGCCTCAGTGAATATAATGGGGTGTTGCATAATGTTGGACCTCACTTTGTTCACCAACTGTCCTTAATATCTGTGAAACCAAAGCTTAGCCAGCACAAATTCTTACTAACTTATCTGTGGTTTTGTTGCTTCCATTATATATTTTGAGTGCATTGGATTGTATATCTAGTTAGTAACAGTAACTTTAAGTAACTGATCAACTTTGGTGATCTTGAGCACTCTCTACAGCATGTTAAGAAACAGGCCTAAGATGGCAGAGCCTCTCCTCTGCCCTTTGGAAGAAGAGTTGATGCCTCCACTCGCAAGGGAAATTTACAAGACAGCCAAAGGTGGGTTACAAGCATCTCATGAAGCTCACAGTAGCACCCTGGGTTTAGTGTTGCTTTGTGGTCAGTGGGATTTACAATCGTTTTTGACAGTCAGTGCATTTACGTGCACTCAATAATCCAATCATAATCAGATTTCAGCAGTTATCCGGTTATTCAAATGGTCATGTAAACAGCAAACTCTGATTTCTTAGATTGGAGTAAGGTCTAGAAATCCGGTTAAGGAATCAGATAAAGAGAGCTGGATTTTAGCTCAATAGTCAGATTTCTCAGTGCGTGTAAACTCTTACTCTGATTTCTTTTGGATTTCTCAGTCTGCGCATGAGCGAAACAGACCGCAGTACCGGAAATAAGCAAGCAGTGTTACTGCACGATGGCAGCAAAACACTTTTGGAGCAACGCTGAAACCAACTACATGTTTGACGAAATGAAAGATTCAAATATTCTTTATATTTTAGATGATGTATGTTCATGTTTTCAGGTAGAGTAGTTTTAAAAAAAGCCACAGTATGATGTTTGAGTTTTACATTATGTTTACATCACGTCTTCTTCTGTGAGTTTATTGGCTGGTTGCAAAGCAGAAATCTGATTACTGCCTGACTCATGTAGACCCGTTGTTTCCCCATTGTCTGATTACTCAAGTGCATGTAAACGCGTTGATCGGACAAAATCTGATTCTCAGCTGTTATCAGATTATTAAGTAATGTAAATACACATGTTTTTGACAGTTGCTGTTTTCTGCCTCTGTTTTGTCTTTGTTATGCTTAATGCTTGTTATAATGTCAGCTTCTCAGTATATGCATTATCTTTTATTTGAATTGTGTCTGGCTTATAACGTCAGGCCTCAGGGACTACAGCTGAAAATGAGCCAGTTGGCTAACATTGGCCTTAAACTTGGAGCTGATAAATGTGCATCATCCCTGATATATGACTAAAATTGAAATATTAAAAAACATACACACTTAAAAAAGATGGTTCTTCAAGGGTTATTATTAGTAAAGAAAATGGTCTATATAGTACCCAAAGGGGTTCTTCCACTGTTACAAGCTTGATGACATAACAATAGAAGAACTCTTTTTGGTGCTATATAGAACCCTTTTCAAAAAGGTTCTATATAGAACCATCTACAGCACATTCTTAAGAGCTCTTTCATGATACAAAGAACCCTTTAATCATACAAAGGGTTCTTTGAGTGTTCATGGTTCTATATAGAACCATTTTCTTTACTAAAGAACCCTTGAAAAGCCATATTTTTAAGAGTGTGTGTTATTATGTGCCTGGTGAACACACTGAAAAATGTCATCTTCTGACAGTGTCCATTTCTGAGGAGGTGTGGAAGATTCTGAGAGAGAAATCACAGCTGAAGCTGGCCCTGTTAGAGACGTTGCAAGGGCCGTCACGACTTAAGGTTTGTTTGGCATAAAAAAACAGGCTGATTTGTTTTTTTGTGTTGTTTTGTTCTTGTTATTGTCCAAAAAGCTCTATTCAAAAGCCCATCTGTGGGACTGTGACATTATGAAACACTCACCTTATAATACTTTTTTCCCCTAAGTCTGATGTTCTTCACTGTGTTTACAAAGGCCTCCAGTGTCTCTGTGCTCTCTGCTGCACCCACTGTGCTGTATATCTGAGTCACTGGCCATGTTCTGGTAATTAGTTCAGAAGTGGACGCAGATGTGCTGTTGAAAAGCAGTTAGACTGTGAGGTCGGAGTTGAGAAATGACCAAATGTATTTATCAATTTAAACCCTTAAAATCCCAGGCTTATTATATACTAAGTCTTATTATTCAGTAACTACAGGGGCTTCAGTGCAAACCGGCTGAGCTGTTCTTAGGTCATAGAAGTATGTGATAAAACTTTCGGACTGCCAGCAGGCCCTGGCCAATTAAGGGGTTAAAAACATAAGTTAACTTTTTTGTTAACTTTTTTGAAGGTCAATAAAATCAAAGTTGCAACTTTTAAAATAATATTTACCAGTAATAATAGGTTCCCTCCCCTTACAGCACCACTTATCATGAAAGAAAACCCTCAGTGAGCTCAGAGACCCTCCAAGTGTTTCACAGTTCAGAAGGAAAGTAGGGGAGAGTGGGCTAGTTGGCACAATGGTCACTCTCTGCTGTATGTCCCAGGCAGAGAAACATCTTAGCTATAGCTTCAAAGGTTTAAACATCAAATAGCTTTTAATTTCAACCAAACCACAAATAGAAACATTCAGTGTCAACCAAATAACGTTTTAAATCACAATCAAAAGTGATGTAGTAGCACCACTGCAGTGTAGTTAGTGTCATTTAGTGTGCTATATGTGTGACAACAGCCCTACACTTGGGTAGGCTGGCACATGTGCCAACCAACCCCAAAATCAATGTGTCAACCAACCCTACCCACATCCTGACACACCACTGTGTTTATTTTTATGTTAGCTTGTTAGCATTACTTCTCAAAGGCTTTCAAATCACATGTAAGATATAATTGAAATTAGTATTATAGCCATTTCTACTTACTAAAATGAATATATTATTCAATATCTCTCTTTAAAATGATTCTATAATAAATGTATTCAGGGATTTTTTTTTTCTTTTAACACAGAAAAACCTAAGCTATCCCCGCCTCAAGAGCTTTTGATAAAATAAATAGGTGTTGGTCAAAAGGGTAATTGTTTTATGTTGTATTTTGTTATATTTTATGTTATATTTTGTTTATGTATATTTTGAGTTCCCCCTACAGACACAGAAGTTAATACTGCCAGCCCACCCCATTCATGTTGTCTTTAAGTTACTTTTTTACCACTACATTTTTACTGCTTTTACTTTTTTTAGTCTTTTGTAAATGCCAGCTGTCCTTTACATACATTTCATGGTGAATGTGATAATTGAAGTTATAGGTTATTAGTTATAAGATATTTTAGGTCTTTTTAATGGAATACGTTTGTGAATTATAGCACCATTGTTTTTAATCAGATTTAAATTTGATTCTACATTGCTACAAATTAAAGCAATTAGCCATGAGAGAGCGTGTATTACACTGATTTTATCACAGGCAAGGGTGTTATTAGGTATGACATGCCTAATAACACCCTAAATCCCTGATTGCCTAATTCCCACATTGGAGGCTGATCTCAAGTAGCTCCTACTCACTATGCAGTGCACTATGTAGGAATGAAAATACTGCCTCCCAGACCCAGAAAGTGCATAATGTGTCTAACAAATAGTCATTTTTAATTCAGCCACGTCTGCACAGTTTCACACTGGACAAATAATGCACTGTTTGGGTATAGATGCCAGAATTTCATAACTTACATATAGGAAAACAAAACCAGGTTCCTTCTTTATCATTAATTACACGGGGTGGTCCATGTGAGCAGAATTAATTAATTAAAAAACATCATGCTGTTAATTATTCCATTAACAGCATGATGTTTTATAGTGACTGGGCACAGTAATACAGAATTTGATTGTTGTGAGGTGGTCATAGGTGTGTGTATTTTGAGTATTTTACAACAATCAGATTTTAGGACTGGATTATCCACTTTATAAAGGAGGTTTTATAATGGCCATGGCATAAAACATCCTAATCCCAGCTATTTATGAGCTAGAGCCATTGGAGATATCTCTAAAACCATCAGACAAGGCAATAGGTTAAAGCAGATACTTCGTAGAGGAAATGTTTTGAATGTCTACCTCTTAAGATTCAAGAAGGTTCTATATAGAACCACATACAACACATTCTCCGTCAATCTGAAGAACCCTTTCATGATGCAAAGAACCCATTAATCATGCAAAGGGTTTTTTAACTGTTCATGGTTCTATATAGAACCATTTTCTTTACTAAACAACCCTTGAAGAGCCACCTTTTATAAAAGTGTACATTTAAAGCAACAAAACATTCAGACTTCGATAAGGATAATGACTTTTCTCCTTTTTTGAAAATTATGGTTTATTTACATTTTATATCAATTACTAGTCATTGTTTGTGCTGTTATGTTGTTTTGTGTCCTAGTGTAGGCCACAATGTGTCAGCACAATGTTTTAAACCAGGTTCCATTCCTCGCGGGCCACAACAATGCAGACTTCAGCACATGGCCTCATTAAACACAGCTGATTCAGCTCATCAGCTAATTAGCAAGGCCTTCATGAACTGAATTCAGAGTGATAGATGAGGGTAAACATTAATCTCCGCAGCCATTGAGCCCAGAAGTTCCCAGTTTGACATACCTGTGTTAAAGTATTGCCATGTGTTAAGGGTTTTCATACTTTCAGAGATTTTGTGCTTTGTGAGTAGTTTGTTTTATAGGAATGTTCAGAGATTACATCTCACGTTAAATAAAGGTTCTTGAAAGTAAATATAAAGTAACTGTGCATTACCATTTGCAAAGTGTTTGAAAAATGTTTTGAACAGTTTGCTGCAGAAGTTGTGTTTACTTCTTTTCACAAAATATGTACTTTGGCCTGAACTGCCCAAACTTTTTCTTACCACTGTATAATTGGTCAATATTAATTTTCCTTGCCTGCTGCTGCACAGTGACTCATTTTCAAGGTGGGCAAAAGTCACTATATTTTTAATGGAAGATTGCAAGAAAATAAGAGTCTTTTAAAAGATATGATGAATCATGCCTAATATGATGCAGCACATGAACTAACAAAGTAAAAAAGGTCAGTGTTGATATTAGGTTGACTTTAACATGCACTCAAGTTAAGAATCTTTTTTTTCTTCTGTAAAATTACCACTTTGGAGATACAAAGTTTTGTTATGACAGCAACGATATGCATTTGGGGTATAAAAATACATGCTGAAGGGGGCAGAATTGCATCAGAAATGTCAGGGTGACATTTTGATCCAATGAACAATGAATAACAAGGCAATAGAGTGGTCAGAGATTATTGTGGATATTGCATGGTTCATGCATTCATCTCTTGTAAAGGTTAGACTTTTCCTGAGTTCATTGTCTTCATTTTTTTTTTGTCTTCAAGACGTTTGCTGATCACATGGAGCGTGCAAAACGGCTGGAGCTTCAGCACAAGTCACGGTGGCAGAAAATTCACACTCGTGTGGTGCTTATGTACAAAGCCTCTGAGTCTAACACTGACCGCACCGCCCTGCTAATGGCCAACAACCCAACACAAAACCCCACTGAGATGGACGGAGGTGATAGCCCAGCCAAATACCTGCCCTGTGAGCTATTCACCAAGGTACTACATACATACGTCTCCTTCTTAATTGTGCTGAAATAATAAGTCCAAGGCTGCCACTACAATTCCCAAAAGCAGCTAAAGTATTTTAGCTGTTTTATTAAAGGCTATGGAGTCAGTTTCTAGTGAATTCAGGTCATAACTCCACATAATATAAGCATTATTAGCCTTCTATTTTTATACAAATGAATGCATTTAAAAGTATTATGACTTAATGAAAGTGTGATAACCAGACAATTAATGCATAATTATACATCACCTCTCTAGAGGATGCCCGTCTTCAGTCATCAGCACAGCTTACCTGCTCTTACTCATCCATTTCAAATAACAACTGGCTCACTGAAGGACACCAGTGGCCTGGGCAGCAGGTATGTGTGGAAAGCATAACACATTCTGTAAAAGAGATGCTGTGGTTGTGTGACCCATATGGGCAGTTGTAGGAAGCCCCCCTTATTGCAGTCATCATGCTTGTTGTATTTAAACTCTGCAAGTACTGTATTAATTTCATTGTTAAGTTTTAGTTAGAAACAAATGGTTTCAGGATTTATTTTCTTTGTGGTATCTAAGTCGATACAGCCAACTGAGCTCTCCTATAGGTTAGGACTTCAGGAGCTGAACAGAAATTCAGATGTCCGTGACTGATCTGGAATGGAGGCAAAAGTTCATGCCAGTCTCAGTTAGCTTAGCGCTGACATATTTATTAGAATCCCGTAGAGATGCTAGCAGAAATTAGCATTATCATAGAGGTGTTTTTTGACCGAGTGTTGACATTTATGGCCCGAACTCGGGATCTGGCTCTAATAGTCACAGTTCACCACTGGTTGACTTAAATGTGTGACCTGGATTGATATTTTGTCTGAGCCACCTTGTAGGCATCAGAGGGGAAATTTCTGCAAAATTCCTTTTTAATTTATAATTTTTCTTTTTTACAGTGGTGGTGATAGGAACCAGGGGTCACAATGTGTACAACAGAAATATAGCCATTTTATTTACTAAGCAACATGACCAGTGAACATACATATGTCTTTTGAGTTTTATTTGTAATGTTGATGATGGCAAAATAGTGTTAAAGTACAAAAAAATAAACTTTCTTTGAGTGTTTTGCCTTACAACAGCCTTCATGTACCTCTCTGCCACATAAACCTTTAATACATAAATATTTTTAAACGTTTAAGCAAAAATCTTATCTCAAAACTATTGCAAATCATTTAACCACTATGAATGACTTTGTTTACATCTTCACATTTTGAAAACTTTTGAAAAATCAGTAGAATTCCCCTTTAACGAAGACCCGTCCTGTTATAGCTAATAGATGTTTATGCACAGATCTTCAGGTTTGCCAAACAGCCACTCTGTCCATTTTCCTGCACCAAAATCCACTGTGTCCAGCAATCAAGTTGGAACAGAGGGTGAGTTACAACTTTTAAATGGTTTAAATGAGAGCTTTCACCTGAAAAAGTAGTGCATTGAATTTACTTGACTTTGACTTACTTTAGACTGTTTTGATGTAATATATGTTATTAATGTGGAAATGATGCACATATTTGAATCAAGTAAATTCACCACATTACTTTTCTCAGTTTACACAAGTAGCCTCAGCTAAGTTGCTCATTTCCTCTGTCCAACTTTTTGCAAGAGACATTACTGTTTGCACTAATGACCGTCTCTCCCAGGTTCCCACACATCCATCCGAGCGGCAAGAGGCCAAAGCACTTCACTCTGGGAGCCCCTCGACTTCTCCTCCCTGCTGAAGGTCTCGCCAGCGGTGACTGCGCCAGGTCGGGGGGCATTCCGCTGTGGACAGACAGCTTACTGGAGAGTCACCAGTAGCACTGATGCAGAGACTATTTGTTAGACACAGATTTAAGTGTCCTGTGATAAATCTTATGAGAAAGCTGATATGATAAAAGTAACGTCTTCTGAGTTATTTATTATGTTTCTTTGACCTGTGAAGTTTTTTTATAGATCAGTCATAAATACAGAAAGCTGAATGTGCAACGTTAAAACGTGTCATGTAAAATGACTCAAATGTAATAACATAGTTTTATATTTGTAATTCTGTAATATATTATTTGCACAATCAGTGTTCATAATACACAGCTCCCATCACTCTTCAGTTTTGCTGTCAGTCTTGAACTATGGTGGGTGGAGAAAATGAAGCCTGCTTGGTTGGTTTCTGTCTTTTGTGATTGTTCTTGAGAATATTTGTTTAATGTGCTCCTTTGTCTTGTTGATGAGCAATCAGAGACTGAGCGGTCTGTTTCCGATGGGTGCCAGCTCATGTGGGTGTTTAAGAGCCACCTGCCAAATGAGCTCAAAGCTGAAAACAGCAGAATGTGAAATGTGTTGAATAGAGGCGAGTTTAAAGAGGAATTCCACCGTTTTTCAAATACTCTGTATAATTCAGTGGTTGAGATGTGAACAGTCATGCAGAGTGGTTTAATGAGAAATGGCTCGTTGTGGAGAAACGTACTGACTCTTTAAAAGGTTTTCTTACAAAGGTTGTAACAGGTACCACGGGTCGCGATGTCTGCAGCACAAATAGATCTATATTGGTGTAGACCCCTGAAAAGATGTTCCACAATGATCACCTTTTCTTTGTTTAGAAATTTTGAAAAGGTGGAATCTCCCTTTAAAGGGGCACTCTTGAAAAACTGTAACCACCAAAAAAAAACTTCTTATGATTTATTTTAAAGGTGGGGAAGAACTTTTCAAAAACTGCAAGCACTTTGGTGTAGACAGATGAGATCGTGCTGTACGAAATGTTTTTTGTTTGTTTGTTTGTTTGTTTGTTTGTTGCTAGCTGGCTAATGCAGAAGAAAGTCAGATATGTAACGTTACTGTTAGGAAGCCAAATATCAGTCCCGGGTTTATTAGCTCCCACATGAGCGGTACATCAGCCTTCTCGCAGTATATGTGTGTGTGTGTGTTTGGAGGGTTGTGTATGACGTACTTGCATAATGCGTGCTGGGTATTGTAGTGAAAGAACGTTGATAGACGTAAACAGTAAGTAAAACAAGTAAAACAACAACAAACTGACGAGGCGGAGGGATGCAATGCGCTACAGAATCACATAACACGACAAAGAACACATTAAATACTATTTTTAGGCCGGATTGCGGCTTTAACTAGACTGGAGAATCAGAACCAACAGGTGGCAGTAGTGTGCCTGTGTGTAAAGTGTTATACAGCGCTGAAGCGCCGTATTGTTGTTTTGACCATGTACTAAAAGGCCTGTAAGCAATTCGCATTTATCACATATTACATAGTAAACACGGTTAATAATCCCTCTAGGCAAAGAACTCAGAGTGAACACCGCCAAATACCGCCATGAAAGTCTGAAGTTCACGGTGTGAAGCTCCTTATCAACAGGCGCCACGCATAACCCCGCCCATGTCAGCCCGTATCCTAGCAACCACGACCTACCGCCTTTCTTATTGGTCGAAATTCAAGGTTCCGCCATATTCAAACCTCCCAGAGTCCGTTTGAATTGATCTCCTTCCCCATTTTTCCCATTTCATAAATATTACATTCATATTAGGTTATTGTGCGCTGTACATCAGTTACGGCCCCCCTTTCAGTTTATAGCGCCCCTTACATTGTTGGTCGGTTATTTTCAATGGAGGAAACAGACGAGCCCCAAACAACAACATTGCCCGAATCTACGGATGAAAGGCCGAAAAGGAAGGCGAGCTGGAGGAGAAAGTCTGCTGTGGCGGACGCAGAGCCCGAGTCTCCGGGGAGCAACGACAGGAGACGGTGAGGAGGGGACCTGGCGATCAGCCGCTTCGACTGCCAGCCCGCCCGCCCTCGACGGCCTTAGCTTACTTATTTAGCGTTAGCTAATGTCGCCTAAGTGCTGAGCTGTTGTTGTTCTTGACACCTGTTGTTTTGCCCGTGGGGCTGAGGTCAGATTCCTATTCGACCTCTTCTTGTTCCAGTTTTTGCGTTCAACTTTCAATGGTGCGGCAGTTGCTTCACCATTTAAGGTGGAACGAAAATTCGACCAAGAAATCGGCGAGTAGGAATCCAGCTTCAGTTCAGCCTCGTGTTTTGCCCTCTTCACGGTCTCTGCAACGTGACTCGAAGCATAAAATTATATATTTTTTGCTATTCGGACAGTATTTTGTCGAGTGCTGCTCAAATACCACCCGTTGTTCCTTTGTATATAACAGAAGCTTAGCAGTTATTTAAACTAGTTAGCTAGGCTAGCTGTAGCTGGCTAACTGGTCGGTGATGCAACTTTACGTTTAACGTTAGTCTTAAGGCCCCACTGTTTTCTTTCACATTCATAACCTGTTTTATCTCCATTAATGTTGTTGTCAAAGCAGTTAGGTTCCCTAACAAGAGAGGTAATAAAACCATTCAAAAATCATGGATTAAGTTGTAATAATACGAAACATAGTTGAATAAAACATGCTAACGTTAGCTAGCTATGCTAAAGGGTTTCATTGTGTTTTCTGACGTGTTTTGGGTACATAGCTGACTAGGTAGCTTAAAACAAATTATGTAAGCTAATGTTTGTATTGTTATTAAACTTTAACTACATCGCTATATGTTTACCGGAAACTAAGACCTTTCCGTGTTCTAACATGCCTCACTTAAAGGGGAACTCCACCAAATTTCAAAATTTCTGAACAGTTCAGTCCTTGAGATGTAAACACAGTCGTGGTTTGACATGAAGCGGTTCATTGTAGCGAAATTTACAGACTCAGATTTCTATACAGTGGTTGTGCTAGGAACCAGGCATCACTGTGTCTACAGCACAAATACAGCCATTTAATTTACTGTCCAGAACCACCAGTAAACCTGCACTTGTCTTTTGAGTTGTTATAGGTAATATTAACAGTGGTACAATAGCCATAAATCTCAAAAGTAAGTTTTCTTTGGAGACTCCTTGGCCGCACAACGCCCTGTGTGTACCCCTCCACCATGAATGGGTTAAAATAAATTGTATCAAATACATTTTAAGCCAAAACGTTATCAAAACTGTCATAAAACAATGTGTCACACATCAGGCAGCATATATCTAACCATTTCATGCAATAACTTTATGTAAGAGAGCTTTTAGAGGTGGACATCTGGTTCCTGTCACCATCACTGAACAATTCTGACTGGGCAAGTTACTAATAGAATGGAGCATTTCACACCAAACCGCTCTGAATGGCTTTGTTTACATCTCAACCATTAGATTACACGTAGGTTATTTTTTTTAATTCAGTGGAGTTTTTTTTAAAAATCAACTGCACACCATTTGTATTGTTAAACCGGTTATGTTAGCAGTGGGAAAGTAAGTTTTGCAGGGTTATGATTGATAACTGGTCTGTGTAACTACATGGTCTGTATTATACTGCAGTTCTCCTTTTCCCCCTCACGGTGGAACTCTGTTCACACTGATAAGAGCATGTCGTTGAGCATGTGCACCTTAGAAGTTCAAAGTCAGCCTGTTTGCCTGGCTATAAAGATAGCTCACTTTTGTCACACTGACTTGCCGATTTAACTGTACCTTGTATACAAGCTTTTCTGGAATATTTTAAAGTCTGAACTGTTATCTTGTTTTTTAGTGGAAATATGAGGGATGAAAAACGAGAACCTGTCAGGAACCTGGGCCATTGCTCTAATCCATTTGAAGCAACTGTAATACTGTTCTCTGAAGTATGATGTTCTTCCAAGAATTTATGTCCAAAACTGATCCAAACATAGTACTGGCCCAATATATTTAGCAAATCTCTCCAGTAAGCCCTGTGAAAGGCCACGAAGAGCACGAAAAGGTTGTTCTAGTTTGAGCTAAGATAAGAAGGCGAGAGTTTATGTTGGCATAAGCTGCCAGTTTCCTCCCTCGTCTTGGGTGCTTTCAGTACCTCCTGCCAAGTTCCATGACCTCTGTGGCCACTCAAGCATCAGATGTGATGTATCTTCATTAGCAGAGGAACATTGGAAAATTATGACCATGTAACTTTGGAAATGGACTCGCTTTTGGGGATGTGCAGTTGCCCTGACTGTTAACCCTAATGAAGTATTTAGTGAGGAAAAGTCAAAGATATAATTGTTTTGCTTTATGATTCTAGGGTTGTCCTCCTGTACCTGTTTTGCTCTGACATTTAAGGCTGATAAATGTTTGCTTGCACTGTGTTCATGACATTTCAGTAAGTTTTGTATAAAGCTTGTTTTGACTAGTCAACAACCCAGAACATTAGCTAACAGATTTGTCGAAGGATGATGAAAGACATTCAAGTTGTCTAACATACTGTTTTTTTAACATGACCATAAGGCTTCTAATAGGTTTGTTCAATGATACCCTCAGGAATAATGACATTTGTCAATGTCATTTGTGTCACATGTACTTTCAATACTGTTTTAATGTTACAAGGCAGTAGATTTGATTTTCATAAAACTAAGGCCTTTCTTGTAAGGGGATGAATAAAGTGACACCTTGTTCCTTGGTATAACTGATGACAAAACATCCTTTTTCCATGTCCCAGGATCGTTGTTGATGAGTAATTGCCCCACCAGCGTTTCTCCTCAGCAGAATCTTGTGGTTTTTGGAGTTTCTCAATTGTTCTTGAATGCACAGGGAATTTCTCAGTCACCCGCTCTGTTATCCTTAGTCGTTCTTGCCTTACAAATACATATGAGTTGATGGGCTAGAGTTTAGGCCTGCTTGCACTAGATTGACTAATTTTCTTTGTCCTCGTTGTTTTAGTGGCCACTGGGTGACTTAATATTATAGCCTGTAAACTGGGCCCTCTTCCATTGTGATGTACTTTTATACTCTGTGTCCCAATTGCATCACCTTACAAGATTCAGAGACTTTAGTGGTGATGTCACATCATTGTAAGCAACTTACACCTTATTGGCGTGCACAAGCAGAAGCGTTCCCACACTCTTAGCCATTTAACTCTTAGCCATTACTGTCACTCTGCGACTGTTTATTTTTTATAGAGTATACAAAAGAGGTGTGGTTAGCAGTAAATATCACACAGGTATTTGTAATGAGAATGCTGTGGATTCTTATGGTAGCTTTGACATTGTAGTGTGTCAGAAATGTTTCCTGGCTGCTTTGTGGGTGTGAGGAGTCTGTTGTAAACACCTATATGTGTGTGTGTGTACGTCCCTGAATACTCACAAGGCCCATGCCATTCATACCAGCACCCAAGGCACTGTTGTTGCAGCTTCCTGAGAAGACCGGATCATTTCTCCTAAGCTTGAGCTCTGCCCGCACCACCTACGCCTGCCCCACATGCAAGCTGGACTCATCTGCTGTTTTTCTTTGATCAGAAGGCAGAATGCTGAGATCATGTTGAAATTACCCAGCCTTGAGGCCATTCATCATTCAGTCTTTCTTTTTCTCTCAGTCATATCATATTCTCTTTCCTGGGCGTGTGTTGCGTTCAGTTTGCTCAACACCGCCTACTGGTAAATTATTCTGTGGTGATATGATCCTAGATCATACCTGCCCTTGTTTGCTGCGTATGATCTCACGCTGTTTAAAAGCAAGGTTCTGGTCCATTTGCATACAGTTGTGTGCAAAAGTTTGGGCATCCCTGGTCAAGTCCATGTTTTGTTTATTTATTTATTTTTTGGCTTTATATGTGAAAATAAGAACACATTCTCTACAGAGAACACTTCTGCACATTTTAATTTTTTGCATTTAACATACTGAGGAAAAATTAAACAATTTGCTTGTGCCAAAGGTACAAACAGTTATTATATTAACACCTATTATATGTTATGTTTTTTACCTATATGTAATTAATATAAATTGTGCAGTAATATTTCTAGAAAAATCAGCAAAGCATGCAATTTTCACCAGAGGTGCTCCAGCGTTTGCATCCGTCTGTACGTAAAGAGTGTACAGGGGCAGGTTTCGTGTGATATTTCAGTTCACCATATAGATTTGGATCTTGCTTCTTTGGCTGTTCAGACCACCCACAGCCTTTCCACTCTCTGTGGATTTGTTTTAGGATTCTCTGAACCTCCTTATTCACCACTGTGCATCTCATATCAAACTTAAGTGTTCTTACTCATACAGGCAACGCATAGAAATCTTTTAATGGAAAGGCACTCCTTTTGATCGAACCAGCATTTGGTCATACACAAGCACACTGTTACCAGACTTGAGACCTAAAAGGCATGTATTGAGTCATATTGTTTCCCCTCACTACTGTGTAATGAAGGCTGGTTCTTATATTGGGCAACAATATGTATCAGGTGATTTATTGTAATAGTAATTGTCTTTGCCCAACTCTATTCCACGGTATCTCATTTGAATACTTGACAACTGATTACATTTCATGCATAAGCTTGTACATGAATTTATATTGAATCTTTTAGTGATTGTTCATCTAGAAGAATGTTGTTAGCTATTTTTTCCTCCGTCCTCCTTTTTCATATTTATTACCTTATTGCACACACTAAGTTGTAATAATTGCCATACTTAAGACCTAAAGAGCATGTATTGGATCCCTCTGAGTCATATTGTTTCCCATCATTACTGTGTAATTAAGTCCGGTTCTTATATTGGGCAACAATATGTATCGGTTGATTTATTGTGACAGCAGTTGTCTTTGCCCAACTCTATTCCAAGGTATCTTATTTGAATACTTGACAAATGATGGCCATTTATTTTTCCACCCTCATTTCATGCATAAGCTTGTACATGAATATATGTTGGATCTTTTAGTGATTGTTCGTCCAGAAGAATGTTGTTAGATATTTTTCCTCCTTCCTGTTTTTTTGGTATTCGTATTTATTACCTTATTGCACACACTAAAAGCATGCATTTATATGCTGTGACATGCGTACGCTTTTGAATACTGGGTGGTCTTTTGCTCTTCTCCATGCTGTGCCGCCTGCACACATTCCCTGGTTGATGCATGATTGAGTGAGAGGGAAGGACGGGGAAGGGCAGCTGAGCGGCATAGAGTTAAGACACATTAGTTGTACTATCAGTGAAATACTGGGTGCTCATGCAGTCTTCTACAGCTCTTCACATGTCAAGCTGGACCATGGGATCACCCCCAGCCTGCATAAAAACATTTCTTTTGGAAGCTTATTTATGTTTTGATGTTGATGAAGAGAATAAATAAAGTTCTGGTGCCATATTACAGGAACTTCTTTAGTCTGAAATTGTATCTTATTAGTCACCATGACAACTTTAGTTAGGACTGAATTTAGGGCAGAAGCTATTACAGAACAACGGTTCTTAAGTTCATCATCCAGACCAATCGATTGTCTAGATTTTGGTACATCTATGCTTATCGGCTCACCTGTGCTAAGATACTTAGATATTACAATATGGTGTCAAATAATGTGGAATCTCTGTATTACTGAAATAATTTATTTGGTAATATAAAAGTATTGAAGTTCAGTACTCAGCTTAGGGCTGGGCGATATGATAATATTGTTACCATGATAAAATATGTGAGAATATGCTTTTCTGAGCATATTGTGAATATCATCAGTACATGTAGAACACTAATTAACGAAACGCTTCGTTACGAAGAGAGCATGGTTATTTCTGTTTAATTGGACTTATAATTGTGTAGTGCACTATGAGAAATGCTGAAATAATCAGTTGTGTTGTTTTTGATAGTATTTGATAGCACTAATGGCTCTAATATTATTAGCACTAATCTTTTTGCCATACCGTCCATCACTACTTAGCCCTACTGACCGCTGATGTTGTTAATTTTGACTTGTCATTGTTCACAAAAAGAATATAATAGGCATATATGGGCGAATGTGACTGGTCATTATCATCATGTGATTTAACCACACAAAAACAATCAATTTCTTCCACTGTTTCTTTCCCTGATCCAACCAGAGTCCGTGGACTTTGAGTGGTGAGCTAATCCCTGTCAGGCTTTTAGACTGCAGATAAGCTGATGAATGCGAGAATATTTCAGTGTGTTTGGGGGGCCCTCACCTGTGCGTCTGAAAAAGGACTCTTGTTATCTGTGCAAACATGACCTCACAGGCACAGTTGTTACCAGGCCCCAAATAAAGAGAGAGGTGCAGGGCTTTTGTGGGCTGCCGGAAACAGAAAGAGAGGGGGGCAGCTAGGAGGAGAAGAGGTAGCGTGTTGGTTGCTCTGAATGTAATGGATATAGAGGGCAAAAGAGAGAAGAGTTAAGACCCTGATCTGAGAGCCCACGGTTGACAGCCCTGTTTCTCTCTCTGACTGGCTTTACTCTCTGCAGCTGAAGATGCAACATCACAGGAAGCAGCGCTACACCAGGCTTGGGGTGTGGTATGTATTGTAAGCGTGGAAATGTGTGATTGATGCAAATAAATAGTTAACCTTTTTTCTCATATTTACACAGTAACATGGATAAGTATTACTACTACTGTGTTCAGGTCGGGGTCTTTGTACAGTTTGGTGGTGGAGGAATGCAGATATATGGCTTCTGTGCTACACATACCTTGCACAGGTCTAGGTTCATTGGGCTGTATCTTCTGTTTGTCTTGGTTGTTGTTGGAGCATGTTTGGTCTGGGAAGAGCACAGATAAAACTCCATTGGTTTATAACCTTTGGATCGTGATTCACTTTGTTTTACTGATTTACACTTTGTATGCTGACATACATGACTTAGTTCATAATTTTCTGAACTTGGTCAGATGTCACTTCTAGTGTTTTATGGTTCAGTGATTGACGTTATTGATGTTGTATATGACTTCTTTTTTCACTTTCTCTCTCTCTCTGTAGGCCTCCTTTGAGAAGAGGAAGTTCTTTCACATTTCGAACACCTGGTCCCCAGTGGGACTTCAGTTTGGTGAGTTCAATCATCATGCATGACTTTTCTGTTTCTGTTCAGTGTTTTTCCCTCATGTGAAACAGTTGGACTAAGAATTGGGAACAGTTTGGTGAAAAATCATGTCACTCTCAAACGCATCCCCAAAACCTCTCAGTCTGCTCCAGTTCATGCCGACTTGTCAATATTGATTAGGGCACGTTATGAATTACTCTGAGCTATAACAATTAACAATTAACTTCACTGTGTAGATGAACACATTTTAGACAACAGGTGTGCCGAACTTTGACTCCTCTGTGTTATGCAGGTATGTGGATGCTGCAGATTACATTTACAATTTATATTGTTGCTATTCATCTGAAATATTCAAACTGAAGATATGCTTATAAATGGAAACAACATTAATCATGAATGTAGTATAGCGTCCATATGCCTGCTTGACGTATGCACATGAAAAGAAGGGGTAGACTAACATCACTAACAAACACTATGAGTCAGTAGTCACCCAAATTGCTTAAATGTTTCTGTAGAAATATATCCCCAAAACTTGTCTCAGCCCACTTAAACAGCATCCAGGTCTTCATTAAGGTCACACAAACTTGCTGATGTGAGTTAGAGCACATTATGACTATGACCGTGAGCTATAAAATTGACAGTCACTGTACGAAATGCTGAGTCTAGATCAGCACTCCTGCTCCTGAGGTGGTTTGTGAATAACAGACCATGGAGTCAAAAGTGGCCGAGCTGAGTTGGCCTGTTTAGGTGACTATTGAGTTCTAGTGTTTGTTAGCAACGTTAGCCTTGTTACTTCAGTTCTAAACCATAGAAGCTAAGACATCAGCTATGTCTTAACTGATGGGCTACATCTGTGGTGAGTGGAAAATTGTGTAAATTAGATTTTTTTTTTTTTGCCAGACTGCATTGTCATCTGGTTACATACATTTTGCAAAATTTATGTGGAATATTGATAGAGCATGGGTACCCAACTAAAGGACCACCAGCACAGTTTGGTGATTTTTCCAAGCACACATGATTCAACTTGGATACTGTTTACCAGGTTTAGTAGCTGTGCAGCAAAATCACCAAACTGCACTGAGCTGCATCTCTACAGTACTGAAATTGCGTAAGAGATGTGTGTATCAATAAAGTGTTCTCATTCCCATCCACCACCCCCCTTCTGATTCTCAGACAAAAACAAGGCACACTATGGTAGGTCTAAAGGTCTGTGTTTATAGCTTTTGTACAAAACGTATTGTACCTTGTGATACAAACAAGAGCCCATAATGTTTGAATGTGTGCATGCATAGGGAGCTCAAAGTGCTCTTCCTGTCCTCCACTCTCACCTTGGTCATAAGCACAAGTGACAGGTTGCTCTGTTCATTCTCACTTTCCTCTGCAAGTCCTTCAGCTTCAGTGCCGATTTAATTTTTTTTACTGCTTTGTTTTGTGTCTGTCGTTTCCACAGTGTCCTTCCCATTTCCTACTCCCGTGAGTTATAGTCTGAATTCCTTGGTCCTCCTTTTCTGTGTGTGTTGGAAGTTTTGGACTGAGTATGCTGAGCATTTGCTTTTCATTATTAGTGTCTTTTTGTGCACATTCCGATTTTATTTAGGGTTTTGTGTTTTAATCCTGCTCAGTACTGAACAGCAGTGTTAGACTTTATGCTGCAGTATCACAAAAGGACACAAACAATGCATATAACACTTTGATGAGTGGAAACTGCGTTGCAGTGGGTCCCTAAGAGAAAGATTAAGAAATACTGCTCTAATAGATCACAGGAGTCTCGAGTGATTAGCTGTTGCTCTGTAGTTTTGCCGTGATCGGCACCCCTAAGGTGTCTTCTTTTTTGTACTTATTGTTATTCTTTTGATGTAAGATTTCTCACTTGTTTCTCGCCAGAAGTGTGTGTAGGGGAGGTTCAAAGGCATTGTAAGCACAAGGAAGAGTTTGAGACTCCTAAAGTTCCACTCTTCAGATCCAAGGCTAGAGACACCTTGTCAGTGTGCTGGTTTATTTAACATTTATTTAGATATATCATCTTTATCGCCTGCTGTTTTCTAACAGTACTCAGTTACTGCATGGTCTTTAAGTGGAAAATGCAAATTTAGTTTATTTATTTATTTATTTACTTACTTACACACACCTAGTTTGTCATCTTCACTGAAAAAAAAGGTCATGCATTGAATGGGAAGTTGATACTTTCTATATATATATTCTTTAGCCATGTCTCAAAACCAACGATGCAGGTGACAAAGGCTGCGTTTCTCAGCTATTATATCACTGATTGAAGACTATTATATATAGAAGGTGTCAACTTCAGATTTTAAGGTCCCATTCAATGCGTGACCTTTATTTTTCAGTGAAGACGACAAATTAGGTGTGTGTAAGTAAGTAAGTAAGGTGGCTTTGAGACATGGCTAGAGGATATTATGTAGAGACAGTGGTTGATATAGTGTAGTGGTTAACACCTCTGCCTTCTACACTGCAGACTGGGGTTCAATCCCCCCCGCTCGGGCAAGGACCCTACACTATACCAATAAGAGTCGTATTGCTTACGCCGTTAAGCCATGACATGTCAGCGTGGCCTGTTCAGTCTGTCTCAAATGTGCGTAAGTGAGCACTGAAGTGGAGGCTTTGTATACCAGGGCTACAAAGGTCTCTCCTACCTTGTCTGTAGCCCTGACTTTTCCACACGGCTTCTGTAAGGTTTAGATTTTCACCGTACAACGCTTCTGTCCCAAAGTGATGGCGTCAGCAGGTGAGCTTAATCCTTTCATGTAAGCTCTAATGCTGTTGCGTGACTTTAACCCAGCTGATGTAGATAAACAACAGATTCCATGATTCCTCAGGACTGCCTTTCTCCGGCTCTCCTTTTTTCTTCTTTTTCCCATCATAATAGAATTAGCATAGCTCCCATTCTGCCCGGATCAGTTAAGTGTCATTTGATTTAAATGTAAACTGTTTCTGATTTAAACCAGGGAGCAGGAGGGAAGATTAGAAAGAAAAAAAGAGGCCTGGAGCATTCCGCAGTTTATGAAGGCCAAGTGAAACTCTATCCATCATTCATCTAAGGAGAGTGAGAGAGGGAGGGTAGGAAAGAGAGGAAGAGAAGAGGGGATTGCTTCATCCTGTGCCAAAAGATTGCTTTGATATGGAGGGTTTTTTCTTCTTTCTAGATTGTTTGTACGCATTAGCTCATCAGTTTAACACATGGGACTCATTAAGGTTCCAATTGAAGCTTCATTATCTCACCTTCAGAACCATGTTGAGGTAAAAGATGGGCACATTTCACATGCCCCCCACCCACCTGTTACATCTCCATGCCAACCTTTTGAAAGGTGAATGAGGGTTGGAGTCTTTGATGTGGAAACACTTCCATAGCCTGAGTTAAGGCAGATTGCGGAGCCTCAGGGATAATACTGTATCGAGAGCATTCGAAGGTTCTCTTAAAAAGCCTGCATAATAAAAGATGGTTTTCAGACGTCTGCAATGTTGAGATTGTGTGTTGGATTTCCTGGCCTATGCCAAACTACACACGAAGCTTTAATCTTGGGTATGAAGGTATTTACGAGAGGATTTGCTGTCACTGTCTCAAAGCATATTTCTGGTCATTCACATGTTCTTGGTTTTAATAATTGAATTCAGTTTGCTTAACAGCAGTGACTTATATTAATTTGTAGAACTTAAAATGTTTTTGAGACTCCTTTCTGTAGATACACCAGTTCAACATTTAATACTGCAATCAGTTCAAGTTCAAAAGGATTTGTCATTTCAGCTATAAACAAGTACACAGTGAAGCAAAACAGTGTTCCTCCAGGACCATGGTGTAACACGAAAAAGATGGGTGCAAAACAATCTAGTATACACATTGCAATAAATACAAAAGACTTGGAATAAATACGAAACAAAATCAATGAACGCAGGACAGACAGTGTAGATCAGATTTTTATCTTTTGTTTTTTGTGTATTCATGGTGCTCTGTTAATTGGATGCATGTAAACTCGTCGCTTTTTGCTGTTCTGAATGAGGAACATGCTGTTCATGTGAATCACGTGGATTTGAAGAGTTTTTCATTTTGTGAAGTGTGTTTTAAGTGGTTTCATTTTCGCACATTGAATTTCTTTCTATAATAGCTTTGAACAGTGGGTTAACATTTGTAAATTATCATTCTTAGCAACTAGAGCTGGGCGACATGGCCAAAAACGTTATCACGATAAACAAAATTCATATCGTTCGATATCGATACACATCGCGGTGAATGTCGAATCATTATTTCTTTCACGTTTGAAGGCTGATTTTGCGCCTGGGTGGTTAATTGTGGTTTTAAACTATCACTTATGGTCGGATCATGACAAACACTCACCAAACAGTGGAACAATTCACACGTCTGTCTTGGGACAGTGGGAGAAAGTTTCTGAGCTGTTTTTATCAGCTGGAAAAGCACAGCTGCAATTTTTGTAATAGTCATGATTTAAGAAAGAAAACAGATTATTTTTAGCTGTCTGGTGACGAGCGCTCGGCTACCCCGCTACAAATGCTAAACAAGTGGCCAACAACAGTGCTAAACTCTTTAGTTTCTCAACAACGTCAACTCGGTTCGGTAGGTCACTGCTGTCACTCCTACCACATCCATGTCAGAGCAGATCACAGTATTCAGACACCAGCTAGCGACGACTGGATTCTCTATGCTGTCGTAGTAGTTTAAGGGGTGAACCACAGTATATCTGACGTTCGCTGTGTAAAAGCATTATCTGCAGTGTGAATCTCTCACACCAGTCAAACAGAGTCCTCCTTTTAGGTATGTTTAAACTGAAGCGGTGCTTTTGTGTCATGTTTGATCTACAGTATCATCAGTTCTCCGTGTTGTGGAGTGACGGAGCACTGCTTCAATTAGCCAGCAGCTAAAAACAGCTAGCCTGGAAAGCTAGCGCTCTCCCGCTTCCCAACGCCTCACAGCTTCCTCAGTTTACTTCCGTTTAAATCAGGGCTGTAATTTACATAAACCCACTTCTTTCTTTCACTTTTGTTGCGATAGAATGCACTAATACTAAAATATGACGGTTTGGCGCTGTAACACGGCGCTGCAGACGTGATTTAACACCGCTAAAGTTGTTAGGATGCATGGAAAGAGGTGAGTTCACTGTAGGACAGTACAGATACGCCACTGACCTCGTCACTCGGTCACAGGAGAACAGATCGCCGGTTGCTCCACTCAAACAGGGACTGTATAACTCTGCGTTTTAGATGTTGCTAAAGTATATTTGGTGACTTAACCTCCGCCCTCTCTAATCAAGTGGAAAAACTTGGAAATGCGCCCTCTCCTGGCGACAGCAGAGTAGTGTCGCTTTCCTTGCAGTAGAAAACGCCACCAGGGCTTTCGCTAAAACGTGGAAGTGTGAGAATAGTATATTATATTGAAAATGTATCAAACCTGTCTTATCGCTCTATCGAGGAAAAGTTATATCGTGATACTTATCGTTATCATTTTATCGCCCAGCCCTATTAGCAACCAAAACAACCAGCCACTTATAAGTTTGTGCCTGAAATGTATGAAATATTTATATATCACGTTTTTCTGTTGACTGTCGTAACCACTATGAGAGCTAAATGACGTCTACGTATGGCCACAAGTACACTTCCTGATTTCTACGCTTTTTATCCATTTTATCAGATCCACATACCATCTAGGTGCACTTTGTTGTTCTACAAATACAAACTGTGGTCCATCTGTGTCTCTACATGCTTTGTTAGCCCCATTTCACCCAGTTACATGTCACCCACCACAGGACCACCACAGAGCAGGTATTACTAGGTGGTGGATCATTCTCAGCACTGCTGTGACACTGATGTGGTGGTGGTGGTGGTGGTGTGTTAGTGTGCGTTGTGCTGGTACGAGTGGATCAGACACAGCAGTGCTGCTGAAGTTTTAAACACTGTGTCCACTTACTATCCATTCTATTAGACACACCTGCCTTGTTGAACCACCTTGTAGATGTAAAGTAAGAGACAGTAGCTCATCTGTTGCCATGCAATTTTTGTTAGTAATCATCTAGTTCTTCATCATTGAAGAACAGGTAAACGGGGGCTAACAAAGTATGTATGGAAACAGATGGACTACAGTCTGTAATTGTAGAACTACAAAGTGCACCTGTATGGTAAGTGGAGCTGATAAAATGGACTGAGTGTAGAAACACGGTTTTAATATTATGGCTGATTTGTGTGTGTGTGTGTGTGTATGTGTGAGAAAAAGAATATGTATGCACACACACACAGAGTACTGTGAAAAAGCAGTGTGTTTTTGACAGTGTAGACACAAGGAGGTGTACATAGGAAGTGGCGATCATCGAGGTTGGAGTACTCCGCCCCTTGTGGAGCCAACAGAACACAAACGATGGGCAAGGTTTTTAAAATGGCCTCTATTTATAATAGATGTTGTCTCAAAAAGTGTCTACCAAATGTTTTCCACACTGATAGTTGGTAGGGTGTGCAAGAGATTTTAAAGAAATAAGTCAAAATACCTAGAACGCAATCTTTAAAATCATGAATATTTTCTTGTAGGACAGATGCTGCCGGACTTTGCTACCGGGGACTGGTTTCTGAACTTTTTTAAACTTTTTTAACTGCTCATAAGTTTTCATGTCTGTTATTGCTTGGCCTCATGAGAACAGTAAGGAGGAGTGACGGCCTGTCAGACTGGATTATTTCTGTACCCTGCTGCTGGAGTAAGGCAAAGAAAATGTCAACATTTATTGTTTTTGGATACAGGTTCTCTATTAAAGAGCACAATTTAGGCTGGAGTCTCTAGACAGCCTAAATATTTCTGTTTGTGCTTGTCACTGGCACTCCTGATGTGCCAGTTTAGTATCGTTTGTTTGGAAAATTCAGAATAAAGCAAACACTGGATTCGTTCACCTTCGGAAATATCTTCTCTCGTTCCTGTGAAAGTGCCTATCAGGCGTGTTGTGTATTCAGGGTGCAGAGCTCTCTGTGCTGTTATTGTGTTTTCCATTTGAGTCTGTTAGGCCAAAACAATGAACAGCCCCCTGAAAGAGGGAGTGGCTTTGTTGTTGTTTTCCCCTAGCTAGCTATTTTAAAACTGTTAAAATTAGACCTTTGGTCATAGTTCAGGAGACCTTCAGAGTAATGAATGAGGTAAAGTTGTTACTTATGTTGCAGTCACATTAATACCAAGTGATTGGTTCAGTGTTTAAACCGTTGTTTACACTGTATAGTTGAATGTAATTGTGAAAAAGAAATTTACAAAGCATGCTGATATGTTGGAAACCCCTTTTGTAAAACTCATTATAGTCTGGTTTATTACTTTCTCATCTCAAGCAGAGGGAAGCTACATGACTTAACATCTTAATTTCTTAGACTGAAAGAACGTCTTTTACAAAAATTTCTTGTCTTGGAATAAATATTGACTAGTTTCCCCTCTCACATTACTAGATCTTCCATGCTGTTAATTAAGCACCTGTGCATCTGATTGAGCTCCCAACCTCAAAGTTCGATTGTCAGAATTTGTCAGAAGGGGCAAATTAGGGAGAAAAATGTGTGAAAAGCCATGTAGTATACACACAGCTTTATCTACTTCTACAGAAGTGAATTATATCTGTGTTTTTCAGTTCCAGATTGCACTTTAGTTAAGCTTCTTCTATTCCATAAAAGTGCAAACAAGTCCTGTCTCGTTTCAGCTTGGTTTGTGTCACAAGATAACTGAGACGTAGGCTTTTGAATGCTATGCAATACATGTTTTTCCCTAATTCTGATATGTGTCCACCTATGGCAAGTAGGCAGGAGATTCTGTGAAATGCTTATGTTAAGTAGAAGATGCTCACTGTTTTGGAAATCTGTTGTGCCCATCTTAACCCTCTTGGAACCTGCTCTAGAATTAGCCCTTGTCTTTTGATCTTGTATTAATTGTTTGAAAGATACAAAAATATGTGATTGTATAGGCTTAACTATTTCTACTTTGCTCAAGATTTCACTAAATCACCTGTCTTTCTGTGTGTGTGTGTGTGTGTGTGTGTGTGTGTGTGTGTGTGTGTGTGTGTGTGTGTGTGTTACTGACTTCATTGCTCCCCTCAGCTGCCATCTGCTGCCTTTGTTTTCTGCTCATTTTGGCTCACACATGGCATTCTGTTAATAAAGTACTCACAAATGGACAATATAGTCCTTTGGGCCTCCTCATAAGACACTACAAATGTAGTGTTATGGGGCACTTTTCCCCCATTTGTGTGTCCTTAAAAGCTGAAGAAGAGCTTCTCCCTGCTTTGTGACTTTACAGAGCTGTAATTGGGCCACCACTTTAAACGTCCAGGCTGGTCTTGTATTTCTAGTTTTGCAGAGTGACTTCCTGTAGTGAAATGGACACACACACACACTGCAGGTAATGCTTTTCACCTGCCGAGCCTCAACACTTAAAGATTCACACAGTTGGATGCTAAAATCTCCTGGGGGTAATGATGTTCTTCCTGATTTTGATGGGACCTCCTTGGGGGCCATTGTAAACCACAGCTATGTCTGCTTTCAGTAGACACCCAGCCTGCAGGCCATGCAGTCTGAAGCAGCAGGAAGCAGAGAGTTTATTCAAGCTTATTTTCTTCTCGCAGTTTTATCCAGAAAGTGTGTATTAGAGAAATGCCATAAAGAAAAAATTTCTGTATGCTAGTTTGTTTGTTTGTGACAGCATTTAGGTTTAATGTTTTTATTTTTGAATTTTTAAATATGTTAATGTCGTTTTTTTTGTTTTGTTTTTAATTGTAATATATTTTTTTTTCTCTCCACAGAAACGTAAACGCAGAGAGAAAGACGATGATGCTGTCAGTCTTTGCAGCTTTGACTTTAAGGTGAGTGGCACATGAGGTCAGCTCGGAGATGACTCGATGAGATGTTTTTTAAATGAGCCCTAAAACAACTTATTGACTTCCCTACTCTCTAGAGCATGCTCAAAATGCAAGTCCATATCAAAAAGGCTTTCCTCTGTTCTATAAATATAAACCACTAAAAATAAAGTCGAAGAAAAAGGATAAAAACAACCTTGCAAGTTTCCCAGAAGCATCCTAGATCATCAGGAGATGATAGAGAAAGTATCACTGTGATTTACAGTAATCTTAACACTATTTTTGGCTAGCTGTTCTTAGGAGAGTCTGATAAAATCGTGTTTGTTTGCAAGAGCAAGCAATCAGAGCCAGCCATTATAAACTTCTGGAATTTAATCTCCATGTGTTTCCATAGTTAATCCCTACTGTGTTGTTCTGAAATGTAAACCTCGCATGATTAAACAAAAGCATTGCTCTTAGATTTAGAAAGTTCAGGATAGTGATACTGTAATGTAAGAAAACGTACCATTTGTAGACCTGTTTGTTTTGCAGTTCTGCAACTCTCTCTTTCCTGTGATCTTCTGTTTTCTTTTTTCACAATTTTTGGCATTGGATAATTCGTTCCCGTATACTCTTCCATGGAACTTTTCCTGTTGTGACAGTTCAAAAAGCAGCGCATGCCCGAAAGCTAGATTAACTAATTATAGAAATAATCATTAGTTGCAGCCCTGGTGTTATCCTGCTTCCAAAGGAGAAACCAATGTAACAGTAATGTAAACAAAAGCAAATTCAGGTTTCTTGTGAAACTGAACTAACTGTGCTAACTGGTTGGTGTTAATAACTGGATAACTGGATGGTGTTAGTCTGGAGCCTTACAATATCTTTACTGAAATGCTACCTCAATATGGCATTAATTTCACTACAGTGTACTGGGACTGGCCAATATTACGCTCTTTTGTCATTATCACGATAAAATTGTCACAATACTCTTTTCTGTTCGTATTGTGGATGTCGTCAGTACTTGAAAACGGACCAACTTGCGAAGAGAGCATAATTAATTCTGTTTAGCTAGATTTAGTGCATGGAAGTATGTGAGACTTTAAACAAATATCATGACACATTTTTTCGATATTCTTAATTCTGGCAGTACTGGGCCTTTTTTTTGAGTTCCAACCTATCAAACCTCAGAAAAACTAAAAATCATTATACATGTTGCGAAAATGTCTTCGGGTATTGCGATGAAATTTTACCTTGTTGCAAACCCTTATATTATACTCGACTTCACTGAAATGATCCTCTTTTCCACAAGACGTTCTATTTACCAACCTGTGCTCTTAGGCTAGTTAGTTAAAGCACTTACTGACTATCAGCAGGAGCAGAAAGTGTGTTGGAACTCAGGTGCTTTAGTATAGATTTTGTGTGTGCATTGTTGTCATGCTGCTGTGAGACACCACCTTTACTCACATATTGTGCTTTTGTAATGTGCTGTGACTTTTGTTGGTAGTTTTTTTCTATTTGCCTCCATTACTTGAAGTTCTGTCTGGGGCACATACTATCTCTGTCTTGAAACAGATAGACAGAATATATTTCCGCCATGCCTACAGAGTCAAATTTAATGAATGCCAAAATTAATGTGGATACTAACATTTATTCTTCACAATCACAAATCACAGTGACTGTTTATAATCAATGTAGTCTGCTTTGTCAAGCAATCATTGCAGCCCTAGATAACACTACACTTTGCATTTCTTCTCCGTTACATGCATGTTTTCAAATCTTTAATTTATCCTTTAACACTAAGTAAAGCAAAAAAAATATATACTACACTAAACTGTAAAACTTGTGGATTAGAAAACATTTGTCATTTCATTTCGGTGATTACTTCAGTGCCAGTCTTTTTTCCCCCTAAGTATTATTTTGCCCTGTTTGCGAATGTTTTTGTTCTATTAATAATGAAGAATGAAAACTGGAGCCAAATTCAACTTTTTATTCCTTCCTCTCAAATTCCTTTGTCTCTGTTCTGCCTTTGAAATCTATTTTGATAAATTACTCTGGATTAAACATTTCTGAGCTAAATTAATGAAATTTCTCTTTTGGAATCTGTCGAGTGCAGATGCGATTGTGGGGACACTTAAGCCACACTCTTGGCTGAAACCACTGAGTCCAAGTTGGTGTGAAATACACATATTTGTTCTTGTAGCTTCAGTCTTGTTGTTAAACATGTTTCACCAGGCCATGTTCTAGACTTCCATCTTTCACCCCACCCCCTGTTCAAACATACCAACACACACAGATGCGCAAGGCCTAATCTATGCATGACGTACGGGGGAAGGGGACCTCCAGGTGTTCTCCACCTCCCCTAGTATTGCCTTGTAACCCATAACAAGAGAACAGAAGTGTTGGTACCATGAACTTTAAAGGCCAGCAGAAGTGAGTAAACTGACACACACACACTTGTATTAAGTGACTATCACTAATGCCAGAAGCTGCTTCAGGACGGATAATCCTTTAAAAAACAAAGGTGCAAGTCAGTTTTCAAACACCCCTGATTTTCACACGTGTACAGGGAACAAGTAAATAGAGACAAGCCACGTCATCTCCCTCTGTAGACTCCTGATTCTAGAACTTCCTATTAGCATTTCCAGCTACAAACTACTCTGCTCGTGAAATGACATCCAATCTGAGGTATTTCAGTTGAATATTCTGAAACCATTCTGACAAAGTCCCAGTATGAACAGTCTGATTAATCAAAGATGATTCCACATAATGCATTATGTACTACAGTGTGCTAATCACTGCTAATTACAGTGTCACGGAAAATAATAGGAACTACCTTAATACTGTTATACTGTCTGTGTGTGTTAAGTAACAGTAGTATGAGCACATCATATAGTATACTGTCTGTTCCCGCCGTCTGCTGTGTCCAGTCAGCAAGGTGTATGTGTGTGGATATTAGTTACCTGTTCTGTTTGGTGGCAACCAGCTCTGTTTGAGGGTGTGCACTCATAGTCAACTGCACTTAAATAAACTATTGTGCAACAAGTGGGAGTTTGATTTCAAGTATTTTGTTTCAAGTGCCCTTCATTTGTTCTGTGCAAGATTGGCTGGTGTGATAAAAAGTAATAGAGGGGAAAATAAAAAAAATAATAATACCACACAACACCAGGTCCAGAGATGCTGTGTGTCCAGCTGAAATACTGCCAGAGGATTTTCTGCCCAGGCCCAACCTGACACACATAATTGCATTTTGAGTCCAAACTCAATCTTAAGTTTGACACGATTCTGTCTAAAACCAGCTTGACCTGAACCACATCATGTTTACCGTCCCGAACTGACCTGAGTACAACAGTAATGTCCGAAACAGACCCAAACCTGAATAAACCTTGCCAGGATAGCACAGGATACTGTGTAGGGATAGTAACAGTCATCATTAGAGTGCAGACAAGTAAAATGTAAAACAATATAGAATAATATGCTATAAAATAATCAGCTGTTCAAAGTTAAGCTTGAAGACTGCGTGAAAGAATTTGTCAAATAATGCTTTTAAACAGCATTTCAATCGTTTTCTAGTCTGGATAAACTTTCCTTGCTGCACTGTTCTCATGCCTCCACCTGCGTATTCCTAAAAGTTTATTTAATTGTGTAGAACACATTACATGTAAGATTTTGAACGTATAAAAATATTTTTGGCCGAACAAATGACTTATTCTTTTAGCGGTACTAAGCTGTAGTTTCCTGAATCTGTTCAGTGTTTGTTACATTTTCTCACAAGCATGTGTCTTGTGGACCTCAGTGTTAAGAGGGGTCTCCAGCATACCAGATGAAAATGTGATTTTAGGTAGTTGAAGCAGTGGAGAATAAAGTTAGGAGAAAACTAATGTAGGAGGAAATGCAGGGTATAATATGTTAAGTGTGAGGTGGGCTGTGAGAACCCAAACGTGAAATTTAAACCCAACCCGAGCCTGAAAATATTCGGGAAATGACGTCCAAACCCAGCATGAGCAGTCAGGTCCTGTCTTGTTCGGACAGATATTGCGAGCTCTGATTTTGTAGCATCTAGGCAGCTACACTCTTAAAAACATAGAACTGCCATACAAGAACCCCTTTCATTTCCCTAAATAACCATGTGTGAAGAAGAGATTTGTGATTTAGTATTTATTCACTTGTTTTTCTCGTCCCATTCAATAAGGTAATTGAAACTGGGCTCAGTATAGTTCTGTAAAGCTCTAGAGATAACCAGCCAAAGTTATACATGTGATTTGCTATTTGAAACATTGTGTTTCATATTTTTAGCTAGCATACTTCAGACAAACTTGCATTTTACTTGGTTTCATAAACTCCCAATAGAATCACCGCAAATGAGCTGTGAGTGTAAAGGATTTAAGGCTTAAATAACTTTCTCATAATAGAAAGTTCTTGTACCAATTTCACCAAGTTTACATAATGCGATCATTAAAAAGTTTGTTCACACACATCTCAGTTACAAAAGTAGTTCTCTACAGAACCAGCCATTGAACGGGAAACAAACATGGTTCTTCTGTGGCGTTGCTCAAAGAACCCTTTGTTTTTATCTAGCATGAAACAAAATGCCAGTGATAAAATAGCAGGATTTTCATTTGCCTCTGTAGGATGTTGTGCAGTGTTTCTGTTCTGCCCTTCATAGGAACTCATATTTTGTGTAATACCAGATCATGACTGTGATATCTGTATCATAAAGCGCATGATGGTGCACGTCTTTGTTAGAATTGTATTGCAGTGTATTTTCGCTTTCCTTATTTGTAACAGGATGAAGCAGATCAGAGTTACTCTCGGAAACTATGAAAGGGTGTGAACTGATTGAGCTACACAGAAGTGTCTATCTGTTTACAACATATTTGCAGTGGGTGGTATGCTAAATTCTTTAGGCCTTCATGGAATTGTTTGCTAAATAAAAATTAATTTATACAGTTTGCCTCAACCCCAAACGTAGCTGATTGGCACAAAAATTGTCGATTGCTGCTTCAGTAGAGGCTGACGACACCCAAAAA